CAGCAGCCGCCATGGCCAAGGCCAGCGTGGAGCTCACCCGCGAGCTGCAAGGTACGAAGCTGCCTTGGTCTCCCGGACGCCCCGTCCGGGAGCATCCCAGACCCAGTGCGTTCCTGCCCGCGGTACACCCTAGCCCAGTGCCTCCCGTCCCTCCAGTGCATCCCGGCTCCAAGGCAGTCCCTGCCCCTGCATCCCAGCGCGGGGCATCGTTGTCCCCGGAGCACCCTCTGCTGTCCCCCTCCTCTCACCCTATCAGAATCTCCTGTCCTGGAGCCGCCCGTCCCGCTCTTCGGCGACAGGTGCAGTTCCATGCGTTCCCTGGGGCTGACTCTCAGTGTTTCTGGTCCACCTCTCGGAGAGGCGTCCAGTCTCCCCGCCGGAGAGTCCCAGCTTCCCCACCGGGCGGGGCCAGGCCCGCCCAGGCAGGCGGTGGGAGCTGCCCCTGGTCCTGACCACTGTTTGGCTCAACACCCTCCCTCCTCCCAGCCCCGCCCCGGAACTGGCCCTGGAGAGCACCCTAGGAGCCGGACAGCACCCAGGCCAATAGGGCAAAGAAGGGAGTCAGGAAAGAGGGCCTGGGTCGGAGCTAAAACCAGGAGAGCGGTTTTAGCGCTAGCTTCCCACACCCCGCATACCAGCCTGCCCCTTCTCACTACGGACCACCCACGCCTCAAGGCCTCTCCCTTTGCGTGGCTCTCAGACTCAGTCCCAGTCAAGGCCCGGCCCCCCAGCACTGCCACAACCCTGACCCCCAGAGGCACAAGCACATGCTAGCCCTCGGAAGAAGCAGGACGTTCAAGGATACTCAGACAGGCTGCACTGTGGCAATTTCCCACACCTACACACATACACACAAGCACAATCATGAGATGTGTACACACACCTCTTTATAGAAGCTGCACCCTAGCATGCACACATGCACACACGCACACATACACTATGGGGTATCTGGGTGGTTCTGCCAGCAGATGGGTAGGGGGCTCATTAAACACTAGCACTTCCCCCACACACGCAGGAGCTATCTGGCTCCGTGCCCACTTCACAGCAGCAAGCCAGCATACTCATTCACACTTATCTGTCCCCTCCAGGGCCACGCTCAGGCTCCCAGCATCTACAGAAGGCATGCACACGCTCGTAGTAAAGACAGACACTCACACCCAGACCACCTAGAACACAGCAAAGGGACACCCCCACGCCCCCACACACTGACTCACTATGTATGTATCTATGGCTGCTGTAGTGCATGGGCTGGGAAAATCCTTCACACCTTCAAAAGTGTAAGACACACCCTCCCACAGACAGTGTCACTCAGCAAATGTCCCCTGACTCAAGGACATCAAGGAGCCAGAGTTTACTTTACACCCCACTCGCTATCTAACGGGAAAAGAAAAGTCACCCAAAAGGGAAAAGTCTTAGCCCCTATCCTTTGCCTCTCTGTGTGTTTCTCTCTCCTCCTACCTGACCTTGCCTTGTCTCTATCTGGAGAGACCTGGGGAGATGGGGGTGGCCAGGGTAAGGAGAGCTCTGAGCAGCCCCCCACCTCCCTGTAGACAGCATTCGGAGGTGCCTGAGCCAAGGGGCTGTGCTCCAACAACATCGTGTGAAGCTGGAAACAAAGCCCAAGAAGTTTGAGGACCGAGTGCTGGTGAGGACACTGGGCTTGGGGGAGGGGGAGGGAGCCAAGGCAGCTGGTTTGTAGAGAGCAGAGCAAAGGGCCCAGGGGACGGAGTGGAGGCTTGTGGCAGAGACAAAACCTGGTGGGGAGGGCTAGACCAGGATGATGTCCAGGAGTCTAAGATAGGGCATGAAAGAGAGGATGCCACCCAGAGCTGAACTGAGGAGGCTGAAGTTGGGCAGGAGCACCAGAGGCCCAGCAGCTGCCCTGAGCTGCTGAGATTCTTTTCCTCTCTGCAGGCCCTGACCTCCTGGCGCCTCCACCTCTTCCCCCTTAAAATCCCAGCCAAGGTGAGTTGGGCTGAGGAACAGGAGAGCACCTGGCATGCTCATGCTTAAGCCTGAGAACCCAGGCCCTTAGGAGCTAAGCATCCCTGTCCCTCACAGGTGGAGAGCTCCTTCAATGTCCTGGAGATCCGGGCCTTCAACACGCTCAGTCAGAACCAGGTGAGCACCAGAACTCAGGACCCCAATACTGGACCAGCCGAAGAAGGGAGTGGATATCTGAGAATCTGCTGCCTCTCTTCCCCAAGATCCTGGTGGAGACGGAGCGTGGCATGGTGAGCATGCGGCTGCCGTCGGCTGAGAGCGTGGACCAGGTGACGCGACATGTGAGCTCTGCCCTCTCCAAGGTCTGCCCTGGCCCTGGGTGAGTGGCAAACGAGGGGTCTCTCAAGGGATTAGACTAGAGAGAGACTTCTCCCTCCTTCCCTCTTTGGAGAAGAGCTCTCCAGCTCCACTCCTGCTTTTGGCTGGGGGTGCAGAAGCTGTCACAGGGCAAGAAATGAAAGCCTCTTTCCAGTCCTCTCTGGGATGATTTGTTCATCTTCCAGGAATCTGATACGGCGTGGAAATGCAGACACCCCAGAGGGGCCCCGAGACACGTCCCCCAACTCTGAGACTTCCACATCTACCACTCACAGTGTCTGCGGTGAGCAGGGACCACATGAGGAAAGTGGGACCTAATCCACTCCGCCTGTGTCCGGAGCCCTTTGTGCTTGGGGTTTGGCCTGAGGGGGTTTCACTTGCCCTGAGAACGCCACAGCTCCCAGAGGGCCATGGTGCAGCAGGGACCTAGGACACTGGCACATAAAGTGGCCTTGACCATTCCTTGAACCCTAAGCCTACTCCCCACGGCCTTACCCCTGTGGAGCCAGCCCATGTCCTGCCCCACAGGTGGCTTCTCTGAGACCTACGCCGCCCTGTGTGACTACAATGGGCTGCACTGCCGTGAGGAGGTGCAGTGGGTATGTTGGGAGGGGACCCAGCCGGGGGAAAGTGGGACCTGGAGGGAGCGGGTAGGGGAGCAGGTGTGAGCCAGTTCCACCTCTCCAAGGATGTGGACACCATCTACCATGCCGAGGATAACCGGGAGTTCAATCTTTTGGATTTCAGCCACTTGGAGAGCCGGTAAGCAATGAGCCAGACTCAACCTCCAAATCCTCAGCCTTACCCCAACCTTGGCCTTTCCCAGGATCTCCTTTCAGGTCCCATGCAACTTCCCAACCCCACCCCACCCCACCATCTACCCATCTAGGCTCTCCCCAGCCAACCACCCCAGCCCTGGTCTCTTCTTTCCCACCCAGCCACTTTCCTTCCCCCTTTGGTGTCCCCACAGAGACTTGGCTCTAATGGTGGCAGCCCTGGCCTACAACCAGTGGTTCACCAAACTCTACTGCAAGGACCTGCGGCTGGTAGGAGCTAGCAGGAGCTGGGGGTGGGGAGAGCAGTGCCCCCTTGGCTCCTGACTGTGGGCCCCCTCTGTCCTCAGGGCTCTGAAGTGCTAGAACAGGTGCTACACACCCTGAGCAAGTCGGGGAGCCTTGAAGAGCTGGTGCTGGACAACGCCGGGCTTAAGACGTGAGGCCAGCCTCCCGCTTGGGCAGTGGTGCCCCCGCAATGTAGTCTCAGGGTCCCAGAGCCCCAGAGCATGACATGGGGCTCTAGACTATATCATCCAGCTCCTCACGCAACAGAGAGGAGACTGAGACCCAGAGAGGGCACAGAGCAAGACGCTGGCTGAGCTAGGACTCAGACCCCCACCTCTGACCCCCAGCTCCATGGCCTTTCCCTCAGCATGCTCCATGCACCATCCCCCTTGTCCATAGACTGCTAAGCAGACGGGGGCTACTCCAGTCTTGAGGACCCCAAACTGGGCTTCATTTCAGTACAATGTCCCAAGGAGTAGAAGGGTCTCAGGGACTCCAGAGCAGTGACAAGCTCCCTGGCAGGCCCTGGCTGCTCTCCCCACCCCTGTGGGGACCTCTGGCCACTGCAGCCCCGGCTAGGCAGGTGGAAGAGGAGGGAAGCCCAGGGCTGGGACCTGGGGCTCAGCTCAGGACAAATCCTTCCTCCCCTTCCCTGAAGGGACTTTGTCCAGAAGCTGGCCGGGGTGTTTGGGGAGAACGGGAGCTGTGTGCTGCATGCCCTCACTCTGTCCCACAACCCCATCGAGGACAAGGGTGAGCCCCAGCCCTGAATCCTGTCCCCACTGCAATGCAGACCCCTATCCTAGCCCAGAGCCCAACCCAGGTCTCAACAGGAGCTCTCCAATCTGATTCCAGCCCCTGTCCCACCTCTGTCCTTGTCCCCAGGCCTGTACCCCACTGAAGCCCCTGGTCTGACTGTGCCACCCATGCCCACTACCCAGCTCTCACTGGGCCCATTTCTCTCCCCACTGCCCAGGTTTCCTCAGTCTGAGCCAGCAGCTGCTCTGCTTCCCCACTGGCCTCACCAAACTGTGCCTGGCCAAGACTGCCATTTCCCCTCGAGGTACTCTCACCGGGGCCCCCTGACCCCTGACCTCTGACCCTCCTTGGTGCTGTCCAGGGAACAGAGCCCCAGAGATGTACTCCAATACACACATACCATCCCGCGTTTGGGAAGTGGGGCAGAGGACGGGGTGGGGGCCAACCCAGCCCAGTGCCCGCTGTGCTCAGGGCTCCAGGCGCTGGGCCAGACCTTCGGGGCCAACCCAGCCTTCGCCAGCTCCCTCCGATACCTGGACCTGAGCAAGAACCCTGGGCTGCTCTCCACAGACGAGGCCAATGTGAGTCCCAGGGTTGTAGCGTGACCTCTGCAGGAGCACGCTCAGGCTTCACAGCCTGGGTGTCTTCTGCCCTGTGGCCCCTGGGGGTGGAGGACTCTATCGCCCCTTTCCCGCAGCCCCTCTCCCCTTCCTTCCCCAGGCCCTCTACAGTTTCCTGGCCCAGCCCAATGCCCTGGTGCACCTGGACCTGTCGGGGACTGACTGTGCGATCGACTTGGTGAGGGACTGGTGATGGCCCCCCAGTCACACCACTAGCCCTGAGTACAGAGATGCGTAGAGCTGCTGGGATGACCTCAGGTTCCCAGTTTATACCTGTGTGGCACTTTACGCAGGTCACAGGGCTGTGCCAGTCCTGCCAAAATGCCAGCCCTCTCTCCAGTCCCTGGGCAGCATCCACTGGGAGGGAGGGTGCTTTTCCAAACTGAGCAAAGGCAGCTTAGGAGCTGGCGGTGGTCCTGGCTTTACCACTGCCTGTGAGCCTCTCTGCACTCCGAAAAGCCAGACAAGAAGTAGACCCAAGTTCCACAGAGGGGAAAACAGGCTTTACAAAGTTGGATGGAGACCCCATTGGGGGGTACCTTCCTCGTTCTCTCTCTCTTTCTCTCTCTCTCTCTCTCTCTCTCTCTCTCTCTCTCTCATACACACACCTCTTTATGACAAATAAAGTTTGGAAAAAAAGAAGCTGGGTTGGGAGCTGGACAGTGATACAGTACTAAAACTCACCCCTCGGTGTGGTCGACCCACATGGGAAGGTCCTGTCCAGAGAGCACGCTGGGCACGTGCGTACCTGTGATCCCGGTTGGCTGAGGCAGGAATGGCAGCATCAGAGCCCTGTTGGATGTGCTGTCTCTCTTTCTGTCTCTTCTTCTCTCTGTCTCTCTCGTTCATGGTAAAAAAAAAATAATAATTAAATTAAAAAAAAAAAAGTTGAGTGTGCATCCACAGTGGAGCCCACAGAGGGAAGAGCCAGGAACCTGATGGCGAGGGAGAAAGGTGTCCTGGCCACACCCACACCCTGGCAGCCCCTCTAAGATCCCCTGCGTCTCTTCCCACAGCTTCTGGGAGCCCTGCTCCATGGCTGCTGCTCCCACCTTACCTACCTCAACCTGGCTCGCAACAGCTGCTCCCACAGGTAGGAGCAGGAGGGGGTGTGGGGAGGGCTGGGGCAGGTCATGGCCACCCCCTCCCTTGCTGACCCCCACCCCCGGGTCTCCACAGGAAGGGCCGTGAGGCCCCACCGGCCTTCAAGCAGTTCTTCAGCAGCACGTACACGTTGAGCCACATCAACCTGTCAGCCACGAAGCTACCCCTGGAGGCCCTCAGGTCGGGTGGGTGCAGGGTCGGGGGCGCCCAAGGACACAGGGAGCTGGGGGAGAGTAAAGATGGGCCTATGGACCTTCCTCCCACAGGGCACTGCTTCAGGGCCTCTCCCTCAACAGCCACCTCAGTGATCTGCACCTGGACCTCAGCAGCTGTGAGGTGAGCCTCGGTGTCCAACCCCATGTCCATCCCACCCGTTGTCCCGGTTTACTTTTCTAACCTAATTCAGGCCCTGGCTCATCCCACTTCTGTGCTACCCCTGTGTATCCCCTGACCTGACCTCACCTCTTCTTTCCCCTCTCAGTCTGTGGTCTGCGGTCCTTTTCCTAAAGGCCATTCCTTTTTAGTCCCCGTTATCTCCCTCCTTAAAGCTTTGGGGTGGGAAATACCAGGCTTCCCCACGAGAGGGCAGGAGCAAGCTGTCTTAGGAGTAGCCAGCTTTTTGGGGGCAGGGCCAGGAGAGAGCCTGGGGCAAGGGGTCCAGTATGGAAAATCCCCTCTGATTTTACATCCGAGACATAATATGACCTTGAGTCTCTATCCCAAACCCTGCCTTCCTACCCCACCTTGTCCCTGCAGCTCCGCTCAGCGGGAGCCCAGGCGTTGCAGGAGCAGCTGGGGGCTGTCACCTGTGTGGGCAGCCTGGATCTGTCAGACAATGGTGAGATGGGCTTCCTTCCCTGTGGGCCTGGTGGGAATGGGGACCAGGAAAGCCTGAGAAAACTCCAGTAAGCTTCAGGCCTCAACGCCAGGCCTCTCCTATCTACTGTCCAGGGTTTGACTCGGACCTCTTGACATTGGTACCCGCACTTGGGAAGAACAAGTCCCTCAAGCACCTGTTCTTGGGCAAGAACTTCAATGTCAAGGCCAAGTGAGCCCCTAGACCCTGGTCCCATCACCCACCTGCTGTCTTGGCTCATTGTATTACCTCGCCCACCCCTCCCTCTTCAATAGACTGACCCCAGCCCTCCCCCTCCTCCTCTGAGCCCCGACTCCCCGTAGGACCCTGGAGGAGATTCTTCACAAGCTGGTGCAGCTGATCCAGGAGGAGGACTGTGTGAGTGACTGGGCTTTGGAGGGGACCTGCAGGGACAGGGGCTGTAGGCACCAAGCCCAACCCCAACTTGCCCACACAGTCCTTGCAGTCACTGTCAGTGGCAGATTCCCGGCTGAAGCTTCGCACCAGCATCCTCATCAATGCCCTGGGCAGCAACACCTGCCTGGCCAAGGTGGACCTGAGTGGCAATGGCATGGAGGACATTGGGGCCAAGATGCTATCCAAGGCCCTACAGATAAACTCCTCCCTCAGGTGAGGCCCACCTGGAGCCCCAGCCCCCTAAATAACACACCTGCACATTCTCCCTGTTTGCCTCGATGCTCTGTACACCAGCTTCCAGAAAACCCCCAGCCCAGAACCATTCCTGAGTCAGCCTCATTACCCAGGGAAGGAGGGAGGGATCCAGAATATTCTATCCCTGGCCCCTAATAGGGACCCAGCAAGAGGAAGGGGTGACAAACTGGCACTTACCCCCTCCCAGAACTATACTGTGGGATCGGAACAATACATCTGCCCTGGGCTTCCTGGACATCGCGAGGGCTCTGGAGAGGTGAGTGGAGCAGGACCTGGCCCTGACGTGAGCCATGGCCTCCCTATGCCTGGACCAGGGTTAAACTACTCCAGCCCCTTAGACCTATTTGCACAGAATTATTCGGAAGGGCCCCAGAAGGGGAAATGAAGAGCAAGAGGTGGGTTTAGGGGAGCAGGACCTGCCCCCCACCGCTGCCCAGCTGTGCTATGTCCCACAGCAACCACACGCTGCGCTTCATGTCTTTCCCTGTGAGTGACATCTCCCAAGCCTACCGCAGCGCCCCCGAGCGCACAGAGGACGTCTGGCAGAAGGTGAAGGGCTCTGCCTAAGCAGGGTGGGACAGCAAGGAGCAGGGGGCAGCTTACATCCCCAGGCCCTGAGTCTCCACCCCCTCATCTCCAGATCCAGTGGTGCCTGGTGAGGAACAACCACTCCCAGACATGCCCCCAGGAGCAGGCCTTCAGGTTGCAGCAGGGCCTGGTGACCAGCAGCGCCGAGCAAGTAAACGTTTCCCTCTGGGACGCATGGGGCATGCAGGGGGCACTCGGCGAGGGTGTGCTGTGAAAGAGCACTTGGGGGAGGCATGAAGAGGCATCACGTGGTGCCCATACCACACTGGGCACAAGCAGGAGCACAAGACAGGACATTCAGAATTTGAGGCTCACACACAGTGGGCAGAGAGCAGGTGGCCCCCACACAAGGGCTACACAGGCCTGGGAGCTCAGCTGCTGGGCTTTCAAGAAGGGCATCCCGAAGAGAGACCAGGCCATCAGAGACATCGCCACCACATTGTCAGTGCCAGGCCCAGGAGCACTGCCTAAGGGGTCCTACCTGGGAAGATGGGGGTGCAGCGGTCCCCCTGACACTCCTGACACTGTACTCCAGATGCTGCAGCGGCTGTGTGGACGAGTACAGGAGGAGGTGCGGGCCCTGAGGCTGTGCCCCCTGGAGCCTGTGCAGGATGAGCTACTCTATGCTCGGGACCTCATCAAGGATGCCAAGAACTCCCGGGCGGTGAGCCCTCCGCAGCCCCAGCCTTCCCTAACAGTTTGGAGGACCCACGAAGGCCAACCATGTTAATCCAGTAGTGTCTGGGACGTGCCCCGAGTATCTGTCCTGTCCCTAGGATGCTCAGGGACCTAATAAGGCCTGATTCTGGCCTGATCATAACCCCTTCCTTTCCCAGCTGTTTCCCAGCCTCTATGAGCTGGGCCATGTGCTGGCCAATGACGGGCCTGTGCGGCAGAGGCTGGGGGC